AAATTAAAAACAGTTTTATTGAAAAATAATATATATTCTTATAATAATTTTAATATTTTATTAATTTTTCTTTAATTTTTCAAAATAAATACAATAAATTGAAGATTTATACTTATGGTTAAGACTGTACATCCAAAAATTAAATTATGATAGTTATAACGATTTATATAATGCTCCGCACATACGTACATAAAATTTATATCCTTGTTCTAACAGACGGCGAAACTCAAGGCGGAAGCGAGGATAGAATGTCTTCGACATGGTGGAGGTTTGTTGATATTTTTTTATTTTAATGAAAATAAGATAGTTTTTTAAAAATACGCTTTATACATTATGTATTTGTTGGTCCTGCTTCATATTTTATAGTGAACGTAGACGAATTCTTGCAAGAGGCTGAAACACTCAGTGTTCAGGACATGCCGCGTTCGGCCAGTTCTCTCTCCGTTCGAACAGATGCATCTGGTGCAGCGGTAATAATTAAAATGCATATAACATGCAATTTGCCTAATTTTTTTCTAACAGAAATAGACGATAACAGGAATAGTCTACCCGTATATATATATTTATAATTATATGTATTATTATTTATTAATAATAATTAAGAATTATATAGGACTCCTCATTATTTAACAAATTCAAGAAAAGAGTATAAAGAAAAGTAGGAGTCAACGCAGTATTTAGTGCACAATTATAATAATTGAATACAATTTTAATTAGATAGTCTTACATTTAAATTAAATTCGGACGCGTTTTGACTTACTTTAAAATCATTTTTAACGGTAATCATTTCAACTTAACTAATGATTCATTTTGCGAGTGTGCAACAAATCATGATGCAAGCCATCCACCATACACTATGGATTTGTCAGGTTCATCACAGTTGATTGACTGGAATGAGATGAAAAATTTTTACATATAAAACTACAATAAAGAGATTATTGTAATAACGGCTATTTAGATTTTAAAAACGAAATGCGTCCGGATTTAATTTAAATGTAAGATTATCTAATTAAAATGATATTCTATTATCATAATTGCTCACTGAGTATTATTTAGTGTATTACTTATATAATGCAATTTAAGTATTTTTTATATTTTTTTAATTATATATTTTTCCATTTATAATGTTAGCCACTTAATAATAGAGTCCGATAGTCATAACAGACAAATAGTTGCGTTTATTTAATTATAATTGTAAAAGTTAAGAATAAAAATATGTAAAAAAAATTATGCACAAAATTTTTCTAATTTTAATATATAACAAAATTTTGAATATATAATTTAATATATAATTTTTTTAATATAAAATAACAAAAGAAATGTATCTATATACGATATCTTTTTTAGGAACATCCGTCATCGGACTCATTCTACGATAGCGACGGTGATGGCGGAAGCGACTTAACGACTTTGGAGCGACCCGGAAAGAATGCGCCTCAGCAAGAAGAGGAAATTGAAGAAAGGCAGAGGCATGACAGTGCCGAGGTTGATGGTACATAGATAATTTTCACATATAAATTTTATAAGTATATTTACGTATTTATTCAAATATTATTATTATAGATCCAGCTGTAACAAAAAATAAGGCACTTTTCACTTATTTGCGTAATTTATTTATTATTCACATTAAGTTACATTATAATTTTATATATACTATGTAGGAAATCACAAAAGATTATCTTTTTAGCATTGCTGGAGCAGGAGAAGCAACGGATAGAGCAGCTAACGGCAGGTTGGGATGATCCTATGGCGGTTAATTGGGACAACGAAGAGAAAGATGAACAGGAAATGACGCACGAGACACCAGAGATGCCTTCTAATCAACCTATATACAAGTGCACTGCTCTATACTCCTATACAGTAAGTGATTCTGTAGAATTATTATTTATGTTATATTTTATAGAATAAATATACGAGTATTGATTATAGAAAATTAAATAGCACGTATATCAGAAATATCTTTGATTAAAGTGATATTTTTGGATATATTCTGTAAAAACGAATACATTTTTTTAGGCGCAAAATCCCGACGAGCTTTCTATCGTAGAAAGCGAACAATTGGATGTGGTGGGCGAAGGCGACGGTGATGGATGGTTAAAAGCAAGAAATTACCGAGGAGAAGAAGGTTTCGTTCCTCAGAACTATCTCGATGTAGAAAGGGAGCCTGAGACCACTACCGGTCTTACTTCACAGGGTCCAGGTCTGGTCCAGCAGATTTCCTTCTCATCCGTCGACTATACCATTGATGATCACGATGCCGTTGACCCCGATGCTACTTTGCAAAGTGCCGTTTCGGAAGCCATAATACAAAACCACGTTGGAGGTACGTCGGAAAATTCAATTCATTTATAACTTTTGTTTGTTTCAACAGAATCTCAAATTTTAAATATTCAAAAATGATAAATAGCATGATATGCATATTATTTTATAGAAATGGAACAATACTGCATCGCGCTTTACGATTACGACGCAACGTGCGATGAGGAGCTGAGTTTTTTAGAAGGCGACATCGTCAAAGTATTAAAAAAAGAACCACACGATGTAGACGACGGTTGGTGGGAAGGTGAGTTGAGAGGTCAGCAAGGCCTCTTCCCCTCTCTCGTCGTGGAACCTTGCGGTCCGGACGGATGTCCTCTGACCCCACAGGTGAGAAATTGTATACATAAATACATATGACACACACACACACACACACACACACACACAC